AACAACCGTGTGGGAGCAGGGGTAACTGGTCCAGGGATAGATATCTGGCCAACCGCGTTCCAAGCAGAAATTCAAGCAATTCTTGAATGCTCTGTAATATGCTTGCGCAGAAATTATAAACATTCGAATATCGGCATTACGTCTGATAGTCAAGCAGCATTAAATGCTTTAAAATCAGCAACATGCAATGCAAAACTCGTATGGGAATGTGCAATGTCACTTCAGAAATTGGCCTGTCAAAACCAAGTAAACCTATATTGGGTTCCTGGCCACTGTGGAATTGAAGGGAATGAAAAAGTCGACACGTTATCCAGGCAAGGATCATCTCAGCAATTCATAGGACCAGAACCATTCTGTGGAGTTTCTGCTTGTTCTATTAAAAAATGAAAGTGGAGACGAATTGGAACAACACTTCCATTGCTAGGCAGTCGAAACGGTTCATAATTCCGAACATTTCAGTGAATAGCAAAATTCTTGAATTATCAAAGAAAGATCTCAGTGTCTATACTGGTTTGATAACAGGACATTGTCCATTTAAATATCATTTGAAGTTAATAGGAAAACTTCAAGAGGATATGTGTCAATTCTATGGCATAGAAAAGGAAGACTCTGAACACCTGCTATGCTCTTGTGCAGCAATCTTCAATAAAAGGCGTATTTTTCTGGATAAGGGGCTTGCAGAACCCTTTGATATTTGGAATGCAGGTAGCAGTCAAGTAGTACATTTCATTCGAAATGTAATACCTGGCTGGGAAAATTCTTTTGGTCAGTCTATGTCGGTCGCTTCACAAACGACAATACTGATAAAGCAATATAAAAACGGGGAATATCATAATAGATCAAAGTAATGGTCGCAGTGATGAATATACCCAACACGAAAAAAAAACACAGGTTTCAAAGTTGAATTCCATCCACTCTCACCAAACGGTGTTTGTTCAATCACCGCGTCCCGATGGGTGGTGTTCTCTAGTACACAATGAAAGGCTGCCTGCAAGCAGCGAGCTGCAGCCCACATGAGCATCCATAGAAGCAGGAAGAAGCTGAACCACTATTGATCGGAATCAAGCTCCCCGCTTAAATTCCTATTCCTGCACAAAACAACAAGCGCCTGCTGCAGTTAACAAATAAGATTTACTATATAAGAGCACGTAGTCCTACGTCACCATGTATGTGATAAGTGGCAACCGTAAACTAGTAATTTACAGAATTCAATTGGTTGAAGGACAGCTGAGATATAGCGGAGGGTGCAAGGTACCACTCACTGCATATATGGAGGGGTAACTGTATATTCATCATTTGCGATCGTGTACTCACGACCATTTTGGACATATTCTAACATTTTTCGAGTACTCCTGGGGAAGTTGTCCATTTTTCTTCAACCGAAACTTTCATGGAGGCTTATCATGGTGGGTACTCCATAAGTAACCAGCTTCTAGAGCCGTTTTGTTTTTTTTATTAATCAAAAATAATTTCATTTATAATAGCTGTGTTTGTGTCATCCCTCACCCAGCTGGGAGCATTGGACAAATTGAACTGCGAAATTATTATTCAATTAATGATCAAACCTAACGTTCCGTCAGTGATGGGAAAAATCCAAAATCTGGAACGGCCGGAAATCACTGCTGATCTTGAGATCAGTAAAATCACAAACAGAAAATAACGGCTGATTTTATCTTAACTGGCAGCCCTGAGTATGCACCCTTAGAATCAATAAAACGATCCATAAAATATTGAAAAACGTTCTTTAAAAAACATCCAAGTGATCCATAAAACACTGCAGGAAATCTCTTGAAAAGTGGAATGATCCATACAAAATATCAATTCGATCCATAATTTATGTAAAATTTAGAAACACAATTGTAAAAATGTACTGCTAAATTTCTAAAGAATGAGCATTGAAATTGCACGAATTACCCATAAACATATTGCAAATGATTCATAAAACATTCAGCAATGAACCTTGAACTAATGAAAGTGATCCATAGAAAATCAAGCTTGTGCACTTAAAAATATAGGCACGATCCATAAATTAGACACATATTGTTCATGTTTTGGACACTATTTTTTTTTAATTTGTTCCATTAACCTTGAAAAATTGCTCCATTACTGCGTAGCTACTCTGGTTTACTGTTCTACCCGTGTTTATTTTTGTCAGAAGAGCGGAGCGATGGGCGAGCATCTAGAATAAGCATCTTCTGAGAAAAAAAGCCCTAGGATGGTTCTTAACACTCCGAACACGATGCAACCTATTAACCTATTAAACCTATTCAAACCGAATAAATTTTTAAAGTCTTAAGTTGCAGATTTGAAATTCGTCAATAAATAGCTGAGCTATGATCTTTCAAACAATTCAAGTTTGCTGTTACACATTTGACCTGAAGCATCGTGTTCAGAGTGTTAAGAAGATTATTATAGAAGCTTTTTATGGAAGCTAATTCTAGACGCTTACCCGTCGCTTTGCACTGACTAAAAAAAAACTTGGAACATCATTTCAAGGTTTATGGAACAGAATCAAAAAGTTAGTGTCCAAAACATGAACAGTATGTGTCTAATTAATGGATCATATCTTTATTTTTAAGAGCGCAAACTTGATTTTCTATGGATCACTATCATTAGTTTAAGGTTCATTGCTGAATGTTCTATGGATCATTTGCAATATGTGTATGGGTAATTCTTACAATTTCAATGCTCATTCTTAAGATATTTAGCGGTACATTTTTATCATTGGGTTTGCTAGATTTTACTGAAAATATTTGATCCATATTGATTTTTTTTTATGGATCATTCACACATTTAAATGGATTTTCACTAGGGTTTTATGGATCATTTGAGTGTTTTTAAGGAGCGTTCTTAAATTTGTTATGGATCATTTATTGGTTTTTATATTCAAAAGTATATTTGCCATCTTAGCTGATCTTGAGAGTAGCAAAATCAAAAAGCAGAAAATAAAGGCTGATTTTAACCTTAGCTGATTTTGAGGTAACAAAATCACCAAACGGAAAATCAATGCCTTGGTATTACAGTCAAAGAAAAAAAAAACCGTCATCCGCCGCCGCCAAAATCCAATACGGTGGCGTCAGGGATAACCTCCGGACAGCAGATGTACTCATCAAGTCCATTCCGAAGAGACCCAGGATTTGGATGCATATTCGCTGCTGGAAGGCCGCCATATTGTATTTTAGTCCACCATCTTGAATTCCAAATTGAAAGCGGACTTCCACTTCTACTCATTGCATGAGTTAAGATGCAAATACGCTGTTTAGAGGCTGCCATATTGGATTTTGGTCCACCCTCTTGAATTTCAAAATGGCGACGGACGTCAATTTTACACTTCTACTCATCGAATCAGAATGCTGACTTGCTCTACTCATCGCACTAATCGGTCAGTAGCCGGCGCCGGTGGTGTAGTGGTAAGCGTGACTGCTTTCTAACACCCCGATGGGTCTGGGTTCAATCCCAGACGAGGTCGGTGGGATTTTTCTGAGGCATTAACAATCTCTGGTCACGTCTTCCTTTCGAAGGGAAGTAAAGCCGTTGGTCCCGGCCCATGTGTGTTGAATGGTTGCGATATCCTACGCAGGTGTGGAAGCTGCCTTCCTGCACATTCGATTGCCGTCAATGGATGGCAATCGATGTCCGTCGGTGATTGGCACTAGATTGCGGAACAGAGACCGACGTTAAATAAAGAAAAGAAGATCGAACTAGTCATTCATCCAGATTGCTGACTTGAATTTTGGACTGTTCCAGACTCTTGAATTTACCTAATTAGTCTTCTAATCCTATGATTTTCGATAATTTTGATCTTGGTTGTTATGATGCTGGTTGATTTTGGGAATCGAAAATCATGGCTGATATTGGTCGAAATCACGAGTGATTTTGTTGGTTATGTTGGCTTGCGATGATATTGGTGCCTGGTGGTGATATTGATCTTGAAAGATAGCTGATTTTGATTTCTGATCTTGATTTTAGGCAACACTGTGCTCCGTAATGGTGCCCTTTTTGGTGTGAAGATCAGCTCTTTAACAAGGATTACTTTTGAGGCAAGACAAGGCGTTCTCAACAAGTTTAAGGAAAAGGAAGTACTAATGTCCACTACAGGTACATAGACGCCCTTATTCGCATAATCTATTCAGGGATAGAAGAAAAAGAAGAGCCACGGTTACAGCGGCAGCAATTATATTCCATTACTCCAAATGTTTCTTCGAGAGCGTGGTTCAAAGGTCTCGATGTAAGTCGGGGATTCATTCGCGTATCGTCAAGACTTATGTCCAACCACTACTCGCTAGACGCACATCTCTACAGAATAAACCTAATTGACAGCAATGTATGTAGGTGCAGAACCAGTTATGATGACATCGATCACGCAGTTTGGCATTGTCCGGATAATGACTCCTCCAGAGTACGACTATTGGATACCCTAGTGGGCCGAGGTAGACAACACTTATCCTGTTCAAAACACTCCCTGAATACGTCGCTGATTTCCGAGTCTCAAATTGCACCCCTCATCCAGCGAATCACCTTCCCCAACCCCCTATCATTGTTAACATCTCTCATGAGAGCAAATTAAACCGACGACGTCGGCAGGCATTTTCATTATGTTTTGCTGCTGTTTCTGCCGCCATCCATAGTACAGTAGAGTCGGATTTTACGCGGGGGATATGTTTTGTGAAAACGTTAAAAACCTATCGCGGCTTTATTGGACAGACCGCGAAAAAATCCGAATAAAATATACCGCGTAAAAAACCGACTCTACTGTACATCTACCAGCCCACAGTTGGGCGTTGAGCAGACTCACCCCAGAGCTTCCCGTTCCCCGTCTGAAAACGAAGAGTGAACGGTTAATCGCCTGCGGATGAGTTGTGACTGTTGGGCATTGTGATTTTTTCCAACATAGCTTTTTGAAACCTGATAAAAGCGCCAAGTTAAAGCTTTCCGAATTCAGTCCCCATTCCACACATGCTCAATTTAACTGGTTTCAACGGAGCGGATGCTTCACTTACCGATTCATCCGGAGATCCTTTTTTTCGCTGCTCTGCTCAACTGCTTCGCACGATTATCTACCGCTGTGTGAAATTGAATCCAAGCTAATACCCTGAGTGCTTACTTTGGCTCATAAATCGTGACCACCACCGTGGAATCTCCGCGTGAACCACATTTGCAGACGATCCTGCTGCTGTTGTTTCCAATTGCGGAATGGTGAGTGCACTCGAAGCACAGTGCCAGCGATTGTCTGAAAAGAGGAAAAGAGGCCAGGAGGGAAAAAGTCAGTATACTTGGTTAAAGGATTTGGCCCGAGGGATTCAATTATGGAACGCTGGATTTCGGTAATGTCGGTTTCGGAGGGGTTTGCCAAAGGATTCGTTTGGGTTGGGATTTGTCATTGTTGTTCGGTTCCGGGAAATTTGGATATTTTTTATATTCCCTTGAAATTATACGCTTTGGAACGATTTTAGGTTCGTTTCCATCTAACCTTTTCCAAATTGCAGTCAGAAAAAGTGCGATAGATATATCAAGGTGATTTTCTCTGCTTTTTGTTCTGATTGAATTACAATTATTCAGCCAAATATCAAATGAAATACATTGTCTTCCGGTAAACCACTACTTCATCTTCTCGGATAGTCTCAGTTCGATTAAGTCCCTTCGGTCGTTGGAACCTGGAAGACAGTCATCTTATTTCACATTACTCAATCCCAGGCAATTAAAGGCAAAGGTGGGCTTGCGAAAAGGGAAATTTCTCACGATTAATCTCACCATTTAGTGCCTTAGAGTACCCTTTTTTGATGGTACTGCTAGATGGGGGTTACATTATTACATTATTACAATACGAAGCCTTATTAAGCATGCGGGCTTTAACATGCTGGTCACGATCTTTAATAAATTCAGCCGGTTCATCTGCTTCGCTAACGACGTGGGCTTTGTCGCAAGAACGTTCCAGGCGGTTGATGAGCAGTACGCCAGGTTGAAACGTGTAGCAGGGAATTTTGTGTTAAATGTGAATACATCGAAGACTAAGTAGCTGAAGAAACCGAGCACGATAGAGCTCGCTTAGGTAGAAATGTTACAATTGAAGTAGATGAGTTTTCTGCCACTATAGACTGCACAAGACCTTGAGGTCCGGTAAACTTCATCCGCTTTCTAATGTGACAAGGTGCACACTGAATTTAAGAAATTAATAACGTATGGTGGAGAGTGAATTCGGCTTTCCATGAGACCATGCATAAATGACGCAGCATTTAAGGCGGAGGGGGGAAGGCATGCACAATTTGTGGCAAGTTGTGACAAGGGAGGGGGGGAGTTTGCTAACTGTTGGACGTAGCATATTTTGTACAACAAATGGATCATATGTGTGAAGCTCCGACTGGCCATCTAGGAATCACCCAGCGCTGTTGCTGGCTAGTCTGCGGAAACACGTCTTACCTTTTCGAGCACTGAAGATGGAAAGCCAAGTGCGATGGCGGCTCTCATGGTTCATGCTTGGTCTGTGTAGAGTTTGCTCTCCAAGCTCGTCACAGGGTATTTCGCCCAACTTCAGTTCATGCAACACTAAGACATATTCAGCCCACACATCTCCCTTCCTCAGAATAAAATGGAAATACAATCTCTTTAATTTACTTATTATAGAGTACTGGCACTTCACAACAAAATTTGCTGAAAAATTTCAACTGTCCCAGGTTATATTTGTACTAAGCCCTCGACCAAGCCTAACATCTGTGGATCTCGTTCACCGGTTTTCTTATATCGTAGTTTGTTTGCTTCAGTTGGTTCAGTTATTATGATTCAGAAACGGTCAGACAATGTTACGGGTTCCAATATCTGCCTTATGCATGCTGTTGAGTTCTCGTTCTATTTCCAACTCTTCTGCCAAATCGTGGTACTTCGTTATCTTGGCTATTATAATTCTACGGAGATTTTCAATACTCACCATACCCATTTTGTTTGGGTTAATACCGCATTTGACAATCTGCAGCACCTCTCTCTATATATACATCATCGGTAATAGGGCAAGTGCACCGACGAATGTGATTTGTACCAAGAGATTGAATGCAATTTAACATCTTGAAATTATGGAAACCATCAAAAAGGTGGTCAAATAGGAACACGACCAATACTGGTGCGTTTCCCTTACTCTTGTATGGGTAGTTTCGCTCATCAGTTATTGAGATTCCTTTTTTGCAAATGGGCCATTGATCGAGCCATTGATTTGGTTCCAAAATCTTTTTTTTCTTCTTATGAGTGGGTACATAATTCTTACCGTGTAGTATTCGGAACTATAACTCGATTTTGGGTACTTTTTCCCTACCGTGCACGTGCGTCATAGCCCATATATTTTACATTGGGTTCAGCTGTTAATTTTTTCATTCGTCTGCAAATCCTGCAAATCAGAAATTGAACTCAGAGCAAAACAAAGTGAAATAACTTGCAATTTTCTTCGGATTTATTTGAAAAGTTTTATTACTGCAGGAAGAAATCCATTGGAGTTAGGTATGAAGGAAATGATTGTTTATTATTAATATTGATTTCATTGTAGCTGGCTGAATCGAAGGCTCAACTGATCATCTTGTGCTTTTGTTATCGATCGATCTAACGTAATCACTCAGGTGCGAAGGAGCTTTTCTTTTACGTACTGCTCGCGTTGTCGCTGTTGTTCCAGCTGGTTTGGTTGAAATATTCCCGGTGTCTGCTGGTTGACGAACTGTTCGTGTTGTCTCTGGTGCCTCAGCTGGTTTAGTGGAAGTCCGGCGGGATTGCTCGGTGTCTGCTGATTTACTGCTGCTGCGCCAAGGAGATACCTTTTTTGTATGGGAAACATGGCGTTTTAATACCTGCCCTTCATCGTCATTGAGGACAAGACTGCCGTTTCTTTCCTGAATGACTGTATACCGTTTAGAAGCAAAACGAGATTCTCCTTTCGCGCGGATGTGTCGTTCGACGATTACCATGTCTCCAGGCTTTACCCTGCACTTCCGAGCACCACGTCGGGTATCTTCACGAAGTTTACTTGAAAGCTTCGATTCTCGGTCGGTTTTTTCGAATAGTTCCTCATCGAATGTTGCTTTCCCGTGTCGCAAGAGAGGAAGCTTACGCTTGATTTTACGTCCAAGCATGACTTCTTCCGGTGGTACTTTAGTGATGCTGTGCGCCGCAGCGTTATGCGCATTAACTGCTTCCCGTAGTTCTTCGACGAAATTTGTTTTATCGATCGAAGCTGCGACCATCGCCTTATTTATCACTTTCATGCACGATTCCACCAACCCGTTCTGTTGTGGAAACAAGGGAGTGGAGTAAACCGTGATAATTCCTCGCTGACTACAGTAGCTTTTATAGTGATCGCCATTAAACGGCGGCCCGTTATCTGTCTTGATGCATTTGGGGTAGCCTTCTTTCTCGAACACCTCTTCAAGTACCTTTCTGGTGAACTCAAAGCTGGTGGATTTTACTGGTCTAGCTAAGAGATACCTAGACCGGTAATCGACGATTACGAGAATAGAAATACCCCCGAACTTGACATAGGGGCCATTAAAGTCCAAGGCTATTGTTTCCCAAACGGTTCTTGGGACGAAAACACGCTCCATTGGGGTCGGTTTTTCTGGTTTCCCGTTCATGGAACATGTTTTGCATGCTTCAACCCATCTTTGAACATCTTTTGAAATCTCGGGCCACCACACACGCTGCCTAATTATGCTCTTCATCTTAGCTGTTGACGGATGGCCTACGTGCGCGACCTCCAAAGCCTTCATCCGGAGCGACTGAGGTATAACGGCGCAGCCGGTTTTAATAAGGATGCCGTCGTGCATGGTCAAGTCATTCTGTATAGCCTGATACGTTCGCATATCTTTAGTCCACGTACCTGTGTCCAAAGCACTCGTTACTTTTTGAAGCGTTTCGTCTTGTGTGGTAGCGTCTCTGATGTCCTGTTCCGTCAAAAATTCTATGCTGTTTGCCTCAAGGTTTGTGATCTCCCATGGGGTTGCGTCTTCGTCAAACGGTTCATCTTCGCCACAATACAGCCTTGATGAGGAGTCGGCGATGTTGTCCCGGCCACGGACATATTCCACATCGTAGTTGTACGGGCTCAATCGGAGTGCCCAGCCGTCGGCTCGGGTAAGGGCCCGCTTTGATTCTTCTCGTGTTCGGTTCAGGATAAACGCAACTCCTTGCGCGTCCGTGCGCAGTGTGAAATGCCTCCCGAGAAGGTAAAAAGAAAAGTGTTCGACCGCCCAAACTGCGCCCAGTGCCTCTCGCTGGTTTTGGGCATACTTTCTTTCTGTGGTGGTTAAAGCCTTCGAAGCGAAGCTAATTATCCTTGGTGTGTGCCGATCACTCTCTTGCACTAGCACAGCTCCCAAAGCCACTGGTGACGCATCGGTGTATAGGACTGTCTTGTCGTTCTCAGAAAAGTATCCTAATGATACCGTACTTTCTAGGAACTGCTGCTTAATTAAGTTGAACGCTTCCCTTTCATTGTGTCCCCACGTCCATGATTTTGAGGTTGTCATGGCCCATAGGGGGCTTGAAATGTTTGCGAAGTTCTTTAAGTATGGGCTGACAAACGAAGCCAACCCCAGGAAGCTTCTTAGTTCCGAAAGTGTTGCCGGTTCTCGAAAGTTTCGCACGCTGTTGATCTTCTCTTCGTCTATGTGGAAGCCTTCAGCGTCCAGCTCGTGACCAAGGAGCCTGACCCTAGTTCTATCGAATTCACATTTCGATGTATTGAGGGTCAAGTTATTCTCCCTCAGTATTTGCAGAACCTTTGCAACAGATTGTCGAAGTTCTTCTAGCGTCTGCGCAAATATGAGGATGTCGTCTATGTATATGATTATGTTGCCTACATCCTTCAGTATACGCGTCATTTCCCGTTGGAAAACCTCGGGAGCACAGTTTACCCCAAACATGAGGCGGGTAAATCTGTACATGCCGTCTTCGGTTAAGAAAGTTGTCAAATCTCTTGATTCCTTTGACAACTCAAGGTGGTAAAACGCGTTGCTAAGATCCAGCTTCGAAAAATATTTCGCTCCATAAAGTTTAACTTTCATTTCCTCGATATGGGGGAGCCGGAAGTATTCTCTGTTAATGGCTCTATTTGGAGCCCTCATGTTCACCACGAGACGGAAATCGTTCTTCCCCTTTGAAACGGCTGACATTCCGCTGATCCAGGTGGGTGCCGAAGTAACCTTTTCGATTATACCACGCCTTTTCATCTCATGCAACCTGCGCCTTGCTCCATCCCTGTAGGCGGCTGGTACGTTATAGTACGCGTTCTTCACCGGGGTGATCGTTTTATTCACACTAAACTTGACCATGACCCCTGGCATTTTCGGGAATTTTCCCTCGTCGTTCAAGGTTTCACAAGTTTTAACGGTTGACCCAATCTGAAGTAACCTCATGTCGCTGGCTGTCGAGCGACCTAGAAGCGACCTGAGTCCTCGGCGTACAACATGAAAGATAGCAGTGATAGGGGGTTTGAAGACGTATGTTACGACAATTTTAGCTTCAAACGTGCATTCCACAAGCATTGGATCCTTAGTACCGTACGCGTGTATTCCCCTATTGGGTAGCTCAATCATTTTAAATTTTGCTTTGCCTGAGTCAAATTCATGCTTCAGGCGTTCCCAATCCTGCCCACCAATTACATTCACGTCAGCACCTGAGTCGATGAGAAAGCGGATCGGGCTCGATGACCCCAAGCTACACCCAATCAAGACGTCTTCCAAGGAGAGAGCGTTAACACACTAAAAAGGAGTAAAACACGACGTAGTAATAGTATTATTCGTTTAATTGATTTCCATTTCAATGGCATGTGAATAGGATTTAACATTTAAGTACCTGTTTGGTTTCTTCCTGTGCATTATCGGATAGGTCACTTCCTGGGTCCTCTCGCTTGTAATGGATAGCATTTACACGTTTTTTGCGACAGGCCGCCGCAAAGTGACCGCGTTTACCACAACTGTTGCAATTTCTCTGTAGTGCTGGACAAATACCGTTCCTGTGGTTCATCAGATAACACTTTGTACAACGCGAACGTCGGCCTTGGCCATGATCATATTGACGGCGTTTCACGGGTGGTTCGCCATCGCGTTCGCTTGGAGCTTTGTGTTTCCTGTTCGGTTTGCGGTTTGAGTCATAGCGGTTGCTCACTTCGAACACGTTGGCATCCGCCGGTTGGGCAGTTTCAGCTTCGTACGCCTCGTCATGGGTTGCTGCCTGTACGATGAAGTTCACCTCATGTCCATAGGTTCTAGCCATTTTAACCAGTTCCTTATTTCTCAAACCTTTTAGGAGTTGCGCTCGCACGAACCGATCCTGATCTTCAGCGCTGTAGTTGCACAGGCGTACCTTGCACATTAGGCGGGCGTGAAAAGCCACTGCGGACTCACCCCGTTCTTGTTTCATGCAAGAAAACGCTTCATGCTCTGCGGCCGTGTCCGTCATGGACCGAAAGTAATCGTGAATGTTCGCTACAAAGACTCTGTAGCAACTTGCATCTCCCAGGTTAGAACGCAGCTTGGCGGCTCGAACGATTTCCTGTAGGTCCGGTCCCATAGACAGAAACAGCAGCTAAGTTCTTTTGACCGGGTCATTGCTCAAGGAGGCCGCGATTTCAAAATTTTCAATATACCGGTTCCATTCTTCCCACATTTTGTTGGCTGGGACGCCACTAGGGAACGGCTTGATATTGTCCCAACGAATGGTCGACGGTGTACCTTCCGTGTTGGTCGCTGTGCTCGGTACGTTCCAGCTCGTGTCAGTTTGAAGACGTGATGACGAAGGCCGATCGTATGACTGCAATCGTGTCATGACTGTAGCCATATCCGACAAAACTCTCTCGATGCGTTCCATCCGTTAACTCGAAGTTTCTCCGCTTGATTTCTCCTTCACGACCGCGTTAGCCTCCTGGTTACCTTTCGAATTCACCGTACCGCAAGTTGGTTCTGGAATTGAGCTGACATCCTCATCGCTATCATCCGTGCTGTCACCAGCGCTGTCCTCACTAATGCTGTCCTCGTCTGACTCGGGATCCTCAACCGGGGCTTCAGCACCGGTCGAGGCACCGGTCTCATCCGTGCGAACTTCAACGAAATGAGCCAATTCTATATTGTCGCCGTTTGCATCGGCGGTGTCCGCCGCCAAGATGTATTTGTTCTTGCACGCCATTTTTTTCCGAGCTTCGTTACGCAGTATCTGTAAGAGATAGTAACATGCATCCAAAAATTGGGGTATTAGGAAATATTTCGTTAAATGTTTGGGTGCGTTTCTTTCCAAACTACGTTCGAGCTTTTTTTTTTCGACAGTTGCACGCTCATTTTGGCTGCCAGCTGCGGACATCCCGTTCCGCTAGGTGTAAAAATTTCCATTTGGTAGTTCATCGCAGCGGTTATCCCAATTCGCTTTTCATTCGATCAATTGTGGTCATCCCGACCCACGTAGACATACAGTCGTTTATCAAACCCATCGCTTGCTCATATAGCGGACATCCCAAACCGCCTGGAAATGTGGCATCACACTTTTCCCCCTGCGTTGGACTCCACAGACCATGTGCCAAACATAACCTCAACTTGAAAAATTATGTTTTTCGTAGCTGCTGGGTGATTCTTTTGTCATATATATATATTTTTTTTTTAACGAAGAAATAGGTTCTTACTTTTTTGTTGCCTAAGTAGACAACCTGGCAGGATCGCCAATGTGGAGCTCCGACTGGCCATCTAGGAATCACCCAGCGCTGTTGCTGGCTAGTCTGCGGAAACACGTCTTACCTTTTCGAGCACTGAAGATGGAAAGCCAAGTGCGATGGCGGCTCTCATGGTTCATGCTTGGTCTGTGTAGAGTTTGCTCTCCAAGCTCGTCACAGGGTATTTCGCCCAACTTCAGTTCATGCAACACTAAGACATATTCAGCCCACACAATATGCAAACATGTTTAATTTCTAAATAAATAAATTCAAAAGTTAATTTCCATCCCTGGAAAAACATTAGATGACTTTTATTGAATTTTAAAAACACATTTATAAATCTCCGCAAATATATTAACAGCAGTCAAAGGCTCCTCGGTAAATTGAAACACATATTGACTGAATTATTTCATATCAAGATTCACACAAAGCTTCATATATCCTAACATTTGTTTTATGACGACTAGGCTAGTGAATTGAATTCAACTCACCCCTGATCTGATCGCAGACGTAGAAGTCTCGAGTAACATTTGAAATGGGTATATGTCCAAAACGTAAGCAAATCGGGTTTTTAAACCATTCATTAGCACCGCTTGATAGCAACTAATGTAAAAAAGTTCCGCATAACCGAGAAAAATCATTAAAAATAACTCGATTTTCGAAACGCCCGATCAACGAAATTTTTCGATTCATTAATAGGCCCGCACGCTAAAACGGCCAACCATTCATTTATTTCATTTTATTTACTGCTTGAGGCAGGGCCGATGATTTGTTTTGAATGTATTCAACGTTGCAAAAAGGCTTAGCAAAGGACGTACCATTTTTGATGACAAGCACAACGGCTTAACAAAAAGGGCCCATCCATTGAAAGATTAATAAAAGGGCTAATTAATTTATGAAATTAAATTGTTATCGATTTTCATATATTTTTGAAATCTTTTCGCATATTTTGAATGAATTATACTGAGATACAGTTACTTTTGTTATTCTGAACAATATAAATGCCTGAAATAATTCAATTTTCTTAAATATGAATTGAATAGTGGCGGAAAAATTTAAAATTCTTTTTCTGGTTTGTTTACGTGTTGGACATAGGCCCATTTCAAATGTGACTCTAGAAGTGACTTGAAAGCGAATACAAGAAGCCGGGCTTTACTAGCAGAACCACAATCGTTTTTGAGCGCGTCTCGCAGGGCTTCAGCAGTCTTTTGAGTAAAAATAGTGAACAGAAAAAATCTAAAAATCAAATGCCAATGCCCAAAATCACGCTTGATTTTCGTAGACAAAAATCAACAAGCATACAGGTCGGTTGACTTTGCAAGCTGTGATATCGCAGCTTGGCATATCAAGCCAACAAAACTCAACAAACTGTGGTGAGATTAATAACGTTTATTATTCAGTTTCAACCTGGATCGGGTATCAAGATTGGGTCTGCTTGTTTTCTGACAAACGTCAATTTGCTCGTTTGTTTTTAAAACCTAGCTCAGGTTGAGGTTCGCACTGACAAAAAGTTCGGTTTCGCACTGACCGATAATAAACGAATTCGCTATAAAGCTGGGTTTAGACAGGGCAAGTCGAATGATCAACTCAGTTGAATTCAATTGGCTTGAAAAGTTGAGCCTGGTTCAATTTTTTTTCAATGCTTGTGAGTTGATCAAGTTAGTTGCATGGCATGGTTTACACGTTCAAATCGCGTTCAAGTCAGTTGAATTCAACTGACTTGATCGATTGACTTGCCCTGTCTAAACCTTTTGCTTTACACCCGAACGCAACCGAAATTTCCATTACGACGTGTCTGCCATCGGTGAAGAGTAATAAGAGACAGCAAACTATACTTTCTCTATCTAAAGCTGGTTTTAGACTGGGCAAGTCAAGTAACCACAAGCATTAAAACAAAGTCAGGAATTGGTCTTTATAAGACATTATTAGTGCTCAGGAACCATTTAGTTGCATTTGCATTACTTGCAAGTTATAATATGGACATACTAGTGCCTACAAGCATTATTCAATATGAGCACTTTTTCTCTAGTCTTAATGATAGATATAGGGCTAGTGTTTTGAGCTTGTAAACTCTGATGTTATATTGGCTTACAAGCATACAAATGCGGCATTACATGTTTGTAAAGTGCTTATTATTCGCCTTGAGAGCACTTCGGTTTTGACATTTTCGATTCCAGCCGTAGTTAACAAAAATGGATTCTTTTGAAAAATTGAGAAAAACATTAAAAAGTGGAAATTACCGTCGTAAAGTGAATAATTACCGAAAACTAAGAACTGGGTGTGAATATGAATATCTAAACAATAAGGTGTGCGAAAGTGTGCCCTCGAGTTTTCAGGAAGATTTCTCGGATGAACAGGTTACCTCATCGTATACAGAGGATCTACCGGCACTGTTCAATCTCGATGAACATAGTTCTGATGACGATTTAGATGTACAGAACGAATGTATTGAAGAATACAGTACTTATGAAGCATCTGACTCTGAGTTGCAGGATGCAGAAAACCGTGGAATAGCTCAGGACGATGTTTGGATAGAAGCCGATACATATGAGGATAAGAGTTTGAGTACTTTTCCTCGAAATTGGAGCTTAGAATTCAATATATCGCAAAATGCAATGAAGCCTTTAATGCAAAAACTTTCTCAATATGATCGAACCCTCCCCAACTCTCCAAGACGATTGCTTCGTACACCAAGAACCAAACCTACTATTATCAACCTTGAAGGAGGTGAATACTGGCACCAAGGCGTCGGTAAACACGAATAGCTTTTGGTTGTCATGACTATCAATAATGTTTATGATTTTGTATCTTCGCAGAAACTTCGTTAGTATAAACGTGAATATTGACGGCTTACCAATATTCAAGAATGGGGCACATCAAGTTTGGCCCATACTGTTTAATATCCATGGTAAACCTGACGTTAAACCAATGATAGCTGGCATGTTTTACGGTCGCAACAAACCAAAAAAGATTGAACAATTCCTGAGTCCATTTGTCACTGAAATTGTACCTATACTGCAAAATGGCATTCATATAAATGGAATAAAATTAAATGTGAACATTCGGGCGATGATTTGTGACTCACCTGCAAGGGCATTTGTAAAAGGTATAAATCATGTTCACTTTCTGAACTAACGAAATATAAAAACATGAATTTATGTCTACAGGTACAGTCAACTTCAATTCTATTCATGGATGCCTCAAATGCTGCACGATTGGCCAACATTCACCATTACTTCGTACTAATATCTTTCCACAAACTTTAGCAAAGAAACGCACCGACGCAGGATTCCGTAACAAAGAATATGAAGGCCATTATCAAGTATACAAAATTCGTGAAAATGGAAAAGTCAAACGAATTCCTGTTACCACACCACTTTTGCAGCTACCGATTGATATGGTAGAAGATGTAATTGTTTCTGATTCATTGCATCTGTTACATCTAGGTATCATGAAGCGATTATTAATAGCGTATAAAGATGGCCATAACGAGTCCGATGATAGAAAATGGCCAAGTAGTGTAGTTGAAGCAATGACAGGCATCTTACTGTCAATAAAATTGCCAGTTGAAATCCACAGAGCAGTTCGTGGCATCGATTGCTTAACCCATTGGAAAGCATAAGAATGTGCTTCATTTCTTCATTATATTGGCGTTGCAATCCTTAAGCACTTTGTTGATGACAATCATTATCAAAATTTCATCAAGTTGTTCTGTGCAGTTATTATTTGTTCTAATGATTACTACGGAAGACTTCTACCGGTTGCTTAAAAGTTATTCGAACAGTTCATTTCAAACTATCATACATTATTCAATTCAATTACAAGTAACACACACAACTTAGTTCACGTGATTGATGAAGTAACTCGATTTGGATCTCTATCAACTATTTCTTCATACCCGTTCGAAAACCATTTTTTTCCACATTAAAAAGATGGTTAGATCAGGAAAGCTTCCTTTGCATCAAATTATCAACAGAATAAGTGAAAGAAATTATTCAAATTCTTCTACCAATGTTTCAAAACAAACCTATCCTTTGTTAATGTATGCATTTAAAACAGATCCACTTAAATTTGCTTGTATTAAACTATCTGAAAACTTTACTTTGAACAACAATTTTGCTAATAAGTGGTTTCTCACAAAAAATAGACGCATTGTTGCTATGGAATTCGCAGGCGCAGATGAAATTTGCGGTACAGAATTATATTCAGTTGAAGAACTTTTCGATAGTCCTTTTCCGTCTACAAACATTCATGTGTTTAAAACATCTTGCAATCTCACGTTAAGATCAACAAAAGCTTTTGAAGTTAAAGACATTCTTTGTAAACTAGTTGCTGTAAGTGTTTATAATGAAACTGTATTTATTCCTTTACATCACACACTGCCATCAAATGAACGTTTGTAATTCAGTTTAATAAAAGTCATACATATCTCATGAACTTTTTATTTAATTCATACAAATCATAGTTCTGTGAGGTACTGATTACATGTCTGAAATAAAGAATTAGCAGACAAAAAATAATCGCATTAAGAAAAAAACATAGGAAATTAAAATGACCAATATTAAAACAGTAAACCCACATGGCAATCGTTAAAATATCAAATTTAAAATAAACGTTTAAAGCAACAACAACAAAACAGTTTAAAAAAGCTAAGGTAGTATTACCTTCAATTAAATTATTGTAGCTCTTGCAACAAATACTCCTCGACAATAACTTCCGCCTGGCTGACAGCATAATTATCTTCTTCTCCTTCTCCTTCTCCTTCACCACCATGATCAATGAAAAGGACATCGGGGTTCGTATCGACATCGTCCTGTATCTCCATCTTGACTACTGCGCTTGCAGCACTTTCTCGCTACTTAGGTTCGTGTTCCTTTAATCTCTTCGAAGCGCTGTTTGGCATTTTTCAAGCATCGATGCAAGAATCTCTGACAGTCGGTAAGAGCAAACGTTGGGTCAGAATAGATCACAACTTGGTAGAACAAATCAATCACTTTCACATACTTATGAAATGCAATTTTCGAGATGATTACGTCATCGTTCTTCTTGTTACGGCTTGTCCCGGTCCACGAGCATCCCATCAAGAATTGTCTATCGAAGAAATAAGCCACTATCTGCAAACAAACGGTCCATCCATCACCAAAGTAACGATCCTTGCCATGAATGGATCCTAGAGATTCCTCGATCGACTCAACAAATGCTCCGTTACTTGAGTTTTGCTCCAGACTTTCGAGTTCATCCAAACAACGCACTGGTGTCAACGTAACTTTCGTTAATTGAATAAGATTACTCGGCTCAGCCGGTGGGGGTTTTTGAACTGCCAAGACGTCAACTTTGGCATTCAATTGCGACAGCAGAGAGATACATCGGGTGACCTGAACTTTTGTAGTATCCTGTCCTTCCGAAAGACTTGTCATCTCATATCGAACAAGTTCCAGTTCCTTGCGTACGTTTGAGATTTCATCAGTAATGGGTTGTATAGCATCGGCTGGAGGACTACTCTCAAAGAGCTGTTGAATAGATTCATGATCGACGTGCGATGATGATCCTGGAGCTGTATCGACTTTCGGTGCTGTTGGCTCAACCTCTAATTTTGATGCTTGAATCGTTTTGAACAACTCTGCAGCACTGTTGTCAGTTCTCAAATTTCTTCCGAGGCTCATATTCTTCTGTATCAGATTGTATCTCCATTGCTTTTTGTTCACGAAAGGCCTAAAGTTATTAACCACCATTAGCTTGATGAATCGTTAAATTTACATGATTTTTTTTTACCTCGGAATATGTTCTGAAGTTGCTCCGTTTTTGTTTGCATCGATGAGTAGACAGCTGTGTGTTGTCGATTTTCACGGTGGGATCCTTTTTCGTCTTCTCCAAGAGACGGTATCCTGATACACCCTTTGGCCAGTAGCACAAATCGATACCTTGCTGATAGTTTTTCGAGGTGGATGCAACATCTTTCCATCCATTTTTAAAAACCCACTTGGATGGAAGAACTGACAAGAAGTGGTCTCCATTCTCGTAAGTTTGTACGATGCAATAATTGTCGACTGACATTTTTCCTGCAACAAAACAACAATCCATAAATTTCCAGCATATTTTCAATATTATAACAAGTTATTATTTGAAGAATTACCTAGCTTTAAGAGACGAATTATATGACGATTGTTTTTGTTTTCACTTTCACTTTTACGCCATGCACGATCAAGCTGTTAGATCAGTTGCTTGCTTCAGAAAAGATGCCGCGCGAATGAAAAGGTCCTGTGTGCCTTTATAGTCTATTGCTTGGAAAAAAGTTAAACCAGTTTTATTTCTCACGAATGAAAGTTTACGTACGGATCATGGAAAACAAAATGAAAAAATTAGTTTGTCTTTCTTTATCCTTGGTATTCGTGAGTGAGTATTTATTTGCAAGAAAATCACTGTTTTCCGTTAATAGAATTATTTTTCAAAGGAATACGACCTTTTGGTTTACACATCAATTCACTAATTGATATTTTCCGAGATATTTTCGACGAGTGGAATGTCATCAACGTTTTGCGACTGTGTATTTGTATCTCCTATAGATCATCCAGATGAGGCACGCCCCAGGAAAAAATCAGGAATTCAAGACACCGGTTCGAAACTCACAAGTTACTAATTTAAAAAAAAAACTCTCTGAAATAAGCAGGCAAGAGATGTAATCTGATCACGATTGTGTGTGAGAGAGAGACAATTGATATCGACTTTCCTTTTTTTGTTTTTATTTTGAGATAACTTTAATCCAGCATCCATCACTGCTGTGCTTGCTTACAATAACTTTGACATTTATTTCAGTACTATATAGGCATAATATAAAACCACATGAAAGCTATACTTAGGCATTATCTAGGCTAGCTATTTCGCCTTTTTCAGCTTTAAATCAGTATTTGAAAAATCTATAAAGCTGTACAGCTGTAAATGAGTAGTTCTATATGTGTTTAGTTAGCTGAAAAATTGCCCCTATTTAGTGCTTATCGGTTACTTGAGAAGTCAAATGATCAACTCAGTTCAATTCAATTGGCTTGAAAAGTTGAGCCTGGTTCAACTTTTTCAATTCAAGTGAGTTGATCAAGTCTGTTGAATGGCATGGTTTACACGTTTGATTCGCGTTAAAGTCAGTTGAATTCAACTGACTTGATCAATTGATTTGAATGCAAATTGAACGTGTAAACCATGCCATTCAACTGACTTGATCAACTCACTTGAATTTAAAAAAGTTGAACCAGGCTCAACTTTTCAAGCCAATTGAATTCAACTGAGTTGATCATTTGACTTGCCTAGTCTAAGCCTAGCTTAAGAAAACGATGTGCAGCGGAATCATTTTTGTGTCTGGTCAACTCTCCGCTCAATTTTTGCACGTTGTGAATAGTTTCGCAGCTTGTAAAATCAATATCAAGCATGATATTTAGTTCCAATATCACGCGTGATATTGAGAGCGTATGAGAGCGGAAAAATATAATTTTGTAAGGATTTCCGGATGAAAAAACCACGACGCGTACTCAACGGTTAAAAATTTTACTCCGCGCGCTTTACTTGCTTTTACACGAATGAAATCAAAACGGATCTAGATGAACCCATAAAGGTAGTTTCAATTTTTAGAACGGAAATACACTGTCAAAACATAGAGCACAATCTGGACAGAAAATACACACTCAAACATAAAACACAATATCTGGCTTAAAACTAGAAAAAGGATTACACACTAATCATAACAGGCACATAATTATACTACAACTCAGCCATGCCTGACTATTGATCGGCACGATCATGAGAACACAGATACAGATAAAACACATAAATTGAACACACATATACACAAACAGAATGTTTTGCCTTCTCAATCTTATTGTCACATTCAATGATGCACAATTTCAGAATCACTATCATTTGAATCCTGCCAATCAGCCCACCGCTTCATGCGTGACGATTCGATTATGCCGTCATAAGGTAATTGTGATATTTGTCCATTTTCAATGTCTCTGACAACATATCTATCATTCGGAAGTACTTTATGTATGCGATAATAGTAGTATCAATATTTCGAATCACAACGTAATCACCTTCGGAAAATACACTGGGAGGCCTATGTTTCTTATAATGCAATTCAGAATTGCGATTCTGAGAACGTTCTATACATTCTGCAGCGGAACGTCGTAGGGATTCAAAATCTCGCACGGAATCTGAATTCAGCTTATCATCAAGAAACTCGGAAAGGACATCCACATCGAAACCACGCTGTTGAATTCCATACAAAAGTATGCTGGGGGTCTTACCAGTACTCGAGTGAACGAAATTGTTTATAGCATGTTCAACTTTCCTCAACATCGTACACCAATCCGAATGTTGAGCAGGTTCTGTAAGCTTAGCTAACATCGACTTGATAATTCGATTGACTCGTTCGACTTGGCCATTTGCCTAAGCGGAAGCAGTAGCTACTTTCACATGTTCGATACTATTTTCTAAGAGATATGAACTGAATTCCAAAGAAGTGAAGCAAGTCCCGCGATCACTAACAATCCTCCTTGGTCGACTATAACTGTCAAAGTACTTATCGAGACATACACAAACTTCTTTCGGACTGGTCGAG